TTGCTATCATGTGACCCGAATTCTAAAGTTCGGACGGCATCGGAGCTGCGATACACTCGGTGGAAACCGAAGGTACGCTTATATTGTCATTATAGGCTTTCTCATATACACTAGCGAAATGGTCACCAATTGCTTCAGTTTTCGTATAGTTGAATATTTATTCCCTCCGGAGTCTTCCAAGGTTTGATACAATTTGTAGGATGAGTTGACCTTTCTGATATATCCATGAAGTTTTTCATATTATCTTTTTTAGCTAGTTGTTCGGGATCCCTTGGAACAGTTTGCACTTTCACTACCGTCTAATTGCGGGTCTGCAATGTTCTGTCCTCCTGCCACTAAGAGAGAGTCGAAGGAGAAACACGTATGGGCTGGCAGAAGACACGCTCAGGCTCCCACGTAACGGTAGTCTCGCCGTTTTACACGGCAGAGAGAGAGGCGAGCTTTAACGTCATCATGAACAGGAAGTTCATGACACTCCTCAGCGACTTGAAAAGTCATAACGGAACGTATTTCAGTTCCGTGCATCCTCCCCGCGACGGTCGATCTATTGGACTGATGAAACTGAAAAATGAATTTTATAACGAAATGAAAGGATCAACATCATAAGTGACATCAAGAATGGAGCAATGAACTATGAGAAACACATTACAAGCCGACAGATCAACTGCTGAACAACGACCAAAGCCATTACAAACATGTGTACCAACGGGATTGTCATGTGGAAGGAAGTGTGCACTCAATTTTCATCATCACACAAACTCATCGCAAACAAAAAATTCGGATGATTTGGTTCACATCGTACTCAGTTGGAGTCTTAATATGGGAATTTGAAGGGGCAGAAAGCGGAATGGTGACCGCCCATTTCGCTGTTTCGCTTCCCCAAGGGACAATAGCGGCATGGGCCTTCTTCCTGCAGGATGTGATAATGTGGTTGGCGTCCTGGAGACAACGTTCACATTTGTATCTTAATTTGAGTTATTTGCGTCGTTCAAACAACCGAGGGTACTTACGACAATCTGATGCAATATGAATGCCGTCACAGAAGGGACAAATTTGTTCTCTACGGGATTTGTATTTGCATGTAGTGGGACCATTACTTGAATGCGATTGGGGGCCCGATCGTGACTTTTGAACAGCATGAGTTGAATAATTACCGACTTCTTGCAGATACTTCTTGATGAACGATTCGAGATGATCACAGGTCGTGGATTCGCTGCTTGATTCTCATTTCCACACCGCTGTGCGCGTCGATCACGTAATTGATTTAGTTATACCTTTCTCCTCCAAATTCTTCGAGACGGTTCAGTCTATTGTTGGTCTTCACCAAAATTCCCTGAAGAAGGAAATTTGAGGTTCATTCAGAAAGTGTACCGAATTTGTGTAGTATCTTAGTGGACGTATGGACATCTTCCGTCGCTTTTCTCGACCTTGCTTCTACCCTTTGTAAGGAGAAGTAATTGACAAAGTGAATGAAAGCACATGCATGGTGTCGTGGCTTATACATATTCTATATTGTTGCGGTTGATGTTTCTTCTTAGAGATGAAATCTTCTATGGTTGTTTTGAAATTGCATTCTGTTATGAGATGCTTGAGGCTTGGTGAGTGTTATCTTGACACTCATCTTGAAAATCTTTCAGATGAAGAGGTTTGCCTTGTGAAGGAGGTGATTTGTTTCGACAAATTTGCGCTCGAGGCTCTTCTCTGAAAGATGTTGGATTTCAGACATTCTACAGTAAGGAATTTCTGCCTTGAAGGCCTTTCTGATTTCTGTGAGTGACGCTGTGGTCACGGATCGAGAGAATTGAAGTGCTTCATTCAAACTACGGAAATTGGAACCTCATGGCGTTTTTGTGGGTCAATACAATTAGATTTGAACACCATGAAGCTCTGCGAAATGGGTGCCAATATTCGAGGCTTGGCAAAGTGAATATTTCACCGTTGCAATCCACTTTCCTTGTCCAATATTTTCTCTCTGACAAATTGATATCTTGCCGGCTTACTGACCTTCTTTTGTCTGTCAGAATTTCGGTCTGACACTATGTTTTTAGGAGTATGCTCCTCTCTTAAATAAGAACGACAGGTATCGAGCTGGTACCGGTCTTTTATACAGGTGTGCTCCTCTCGAATCAACTTGTTTTGCGTGCACGGATTAGACTATTGAATTGTGCTTGGTATTGGTTTAATTTCTTCTGAATTCTTTGGAGTGGTGCCCACAGCTACGATATATAAAACGAGGTCCAAGAAGGAGAAAACATCTCACGAGAGGAAACGATACTGATATACTATGCGCGCAAATAGTATACCGGAAAAAAGGCAAGTGCGAGAGCGGGGTAATGAACTTCGTATGTTGTTTTATTGAGTTGTCTTTTCCAGCTTGAAGTCTGGTCGAGCACCATGTTCTCGCTGCATCACTTCCGGATGTACATTCAGTGGCTCACATCTCTCCTATGTCAATACATGTTTTTTGGGCAACCATATATTACGAGTCAAATAATGCATGGGTCCCCAATCGATCGGCTAGATGGAGTATACATGAACCTCAAATCTGCCATAGGAATGAGGGTGAAGGAGATTGGAAAAGAGCTCGCATCACAACCTGTGAAGTTTTTTACTACTTCCACCCGTAAGCTCTGTTCCCTTTTTCAGATCCTTAGAATAAGTTGAGTCATTAGGATATTTATACAGGTCCCGCTGACCTTAAAGCTCGCATCACAATCTGTGAAGTTTTTTTTAGTTTGCATTTTTACGACCAAACATTTTTACGACCCAAGTCAAAATTGTGGGATGTATGTGCCCATTGTGTACCCCTTTTTTTCGTGGTCACAGTAGAACTCTTCAAACTAACAACTTTATTAAATTAGTAACAGCAATTAATGAGTAAGAATACGATAAGAATAGATCGAATAGTTGATGAGGTAGTGGAACTGGGTGGCGAGTGTAGTGGAGCTGACGACGAACGGCGGTGGTGTCACGACGACGACAGTAGAATCCGATGTAGAGAACCCTGCGGGTCTGCAACATTTGTCCCCGTCACTAAGAGACAGTCGAAGAAGTAACATAGGCTGACAGCAGGCAGGTAACGATACACTCGCCCTTTTATGGGGCGAAGAGATTCTATAAAGCGGAGAGTGTATCGTTACGAGAGGCGGGTACTAACGTGATCATGAACAGGGAGTACATGACAGGGGCGTTAATCAATTGTGTCTGTGAGATGTGCCTACGCATTCTATTTCCTTTTGCAATCGTAGTAGCATACTGAATTCGTGGCCTATACAATGACTTGCGGTGGACAGCAGTGTACAAGCCAGTGCCTTCATTCTCCCAGACGAGCCTTACACCAATTAACCGATCCCGGAGGGATGGGAGGTCCGTGACGTGATCCGTGACCATTCCTGCGTGAAGTGGGTCACCTGCCACTATACCGCCTCCACCCTTCAGTTACCGCTTCTTTGATTTAACCTTCATCCTTTAATAACATCTATATTAGTCAGAGCGAAAGCATAGATATTAGACGTAATTTGTCATCGTACCTTACTGTACTTGTCAAATTAGAATGTAAAACATGGAGACTACAACGGCTAACCACAGTAAGTGGGTGCTTCTATCCCCGATACTAAGCGATACCGCCACAGTTGCATCCACTACACATGGCGCGAATCAACTTTACTATACCTCAAACTTGAGTAATTAAACCAAGTTGGGTAACTAAACACGACTTTTCCAATAAACAGCACAGTGACACAATCGTTCAACAAGAAAGGAGATCCCAAGAATCAAAACTCCAGGCTCATGAGCGCAATGCACTCCTAAAAGGCATATGTATGATAATAAAAGAATAGGAGAGAAATCGCAACAGGCACATAGGGGTGCTTGCACCATCGAGGAAGATTTGATCTCACACCGCATGCAAACCTACTTATACGAAGGTTGACATTGGCCTCACAAGATCGAACAGATAAGCGCAGAGTTCTTGGAAGATTCCCGGCAAAATTCCGGCAATTTAATTAGATGGGAATGTTGGATGCTGTGCGAACGACATATCATAAAAAAANAAAAAAACACGGTCTAACCGCCATACTCCCTATCTCGGAGTCCTTCAGGCCTGGTAGAAGCGTAGATCGCGTTCCAACTGCTCGATTCACTCTGTCGCTTCCGCCAAACTGTACCATATCCTAATCAGCCTCACTGCTACCCCTTTGCTTTCATCGTGTAACTCGCATAGAGCTGAGGGATGTTCATATCTGCAGCAATGGAAGCATCGCACATAGTATTTCGGGTGACATTTCCTCTCCTACAGTGTCCGCAACTTCTCCGTGGGCAAATAGGTTGTTGGCGCAAGTCCTCAATTATGTGACGGAGATTGTCGCGAGATTATTCGAACTGTTGAACCTGCTGTACTAACCGTCGGCGCATATTAGTCTGTTCTAATCTCATGCGCTCCTCCATTACTTCTGCGGCCACTGCTCCTTCTGCTTCTATTTCATCGGAAATTCGACATTTTCTTGAGTTGCCTGTAGCTCTTGGTCTTGCATCGCTATGCCCTCAAGCGCAGGCGACGGGTGACGCGAATCTGATCGCGATTAATAGGCGCTTCGTCTCTTTCCTTGACTTGAATGCTCTTTTCAGTGTGGTCCACTGCAGGGATCGCACTTTGGTGCTGCTTCATGGCGACTGAACTGAGTCCTCGAATGAAAATTTCAGTATCTTCTCGCTGCTCCGCCGTTAATGACGCCCTGATTTCGATGAGCATTTGGCGATACCGATCGAGCTGCTGTAATTGGTCTGAGGCCACGCTTTTGATGCCATCCGTCTGTATTAGGAACGAATGTTCCGCTTCATCACGATGGGGCGGTCCATCCACGCGTGCCAGACATCCTTTTTACTGAAATTTGTGGCGCTTAAAAGTGCAGAAGCGGTGAAGAGGGTACGGAGTTGCAGAGGGAATCAGCGAGGGTTTTTGTATAGTCGATTCTAGACGTGAGTTCACTGATATCAATATGATCCCAACACATCGCCATCTGTTCGACCATAAGACAAACATCCATCGAATGACGCATATCGTTAGACGATGTACAGAATGACACGACACTGACAGCTGAAGGAAGTTCGAGCTAGTGCTTTTTCTTTTGCGAGCTCAAAAAGTTCCCTGATACTTCGATTGGAAATACTATACCATTCTGACTGGTCCTTTTTCCGTAATCTACTGACCAGTTGATAATTTCGTAATTTCTCAAATGCCGTATGACCGCGAACCAAATCAATTTAATTGTCCTTGGATTCTGATCGGCGGAGATTTTCATCACTGTGGAAGATCGGTCTTATCAATTCCGATGTTAGGTACTCGTTCGATCCCATGTCAAAAGCGTGAGTTAACACTAAACAATTCTTCCGATTTCACAAATAATCTTCGTGTAATGTTGAACTCTCGAACAACATGCGTTAATTACCCACCACAATTCGAGGAATTCCTTGCAGGGGTCTTCGTCTTGAAGAACCCTGTCGTCTCCAAATGAGAATGGAAAGGCCGCTTGTACGGAAAATATTTGTGGTAGAATTAAGAGTCTCGCAGTGCATGCATGCACCTCGCAGGTGGCTGCGAGCATTGCGCCTACCGCCTTCATTAGGTTAGAGGCTGGAAATGATAATGCGGAATGGTACATGAATGGTGACGAAGAAGAAAAAATCCGCATAATAACTTAGGTATATGAGGTTTTTAAAAGTAGCCGTTCCCTAGGTTGCACGATGAAAGAACTATTTTGATGACGTTCCAACCACCGCAGAGAAAGCGTATATTTGTGTAAAAAGTGGTTTCAGCATCGCTCATGCTCAGAACTTGCTTCACTCTGCCACTGCTTCACCCTGGGTCGGTACTACTTGCAACAGTAATTTTGTATCATTGCACTTACAACAGCAGTTTTGTTTTATTGTGCTTATCTGCCACTCAGTATCAGCCCTTCAGAGCAACTAACACTCGAAAATGGACCACATGATAAAATCATCCGATTGTAGGGCTCCTCGAGCGATCAACTGGTTGCATTTTCAGCAAACATGATCCAGGACAATGATAAACTGTCACCACGAGACCGTTAGAAACTTTCGCTTCTGTGTTTGATCTCTTAGGCGCTTGTTTTGAGTCCTGATTGTGGCCGTTTTTCGAACGTGCAACTACCCATAAAAGTGTGAGAGCCTTCCTGCTATCGCATGGTCACATCATGGTCACATCGCACATTACCGCAAAGCCTCAAGATGTAGGAGTTAAGCCTAACCTTAATTAGGTGCAAGACTCCGTGCTCAGATTTGCCTTCATATCGCTATCAATAGATTACAATATTCTTATGCCGAGCGAGGTTGTCAGGTGGAACAATATAGTAATCAACGGCTTAACGTTTCGACGTTCTCGTCTTCTTCAGAGTCCTAAACAATTCAAGCTATTTGCACAGTATCCAAAAAGTAGGCGACTGTCAGTAGCGACAGCGGATTCGATCGCTTGAGCGGTAGAGCCTTGGTGAGTTATGGTACAAGATCAGGGTTTTGACTCGCCATAACATTCGCCAGGGGGTAATGAGTTTTTGGACACTGTGCACATAGCCTCAAATTGCTTTAGGCCTCTGAAGAAGACGGGAACGTCGAAACGTCAGGCCGTTGATTGATAAGGTGTTCCGTAGCAGGGTATCCCTACACCACTTGAGTATGAAGGGAGCCAGGTTGTGAATTGAGGCTCTATAGACAGGGATTGTCAGTTCCTTACTCCCAATTTTCACCTTTGTTTTGCCCTCTCCGGATTCCAATCCTGCACCCGCCAGTAATCTTTCCATCCTGCAGCCTTCATCTCTATGTAATTTGAAAGCCCCAGGTGCCCATGTCCAGATTAGAATTTGCGCGCATGCTGATCACGGGTCGTACGTGGTCTACGTTAGCACAGAATCGATACCGATTGCCGCCAAATGCCTTGAATGTAAACAAAGAACGGAACACTGCGTAGTTGAGCAACTTTTCAACATAATCACAGATAAACTGCCAAACAATCAAAATCTACTCTTCTCTCAGAAGGTATACGATGATTGAGATAAGTTAAAGGATAAAAGAATGAAGTCTTTAGGCGTTGATTAGTCACGTCAGAGGGATGCGCCTAACTTGACTTCCATTCGGAATCGCAGTGGCGTATTGAATGCGCGTATAACGGTCTTTCATTGAGTCACAAACTTCGCTGGGTAGTGGCCCCTATCTAATAGCAAGAAGTGGACCGCTGGTAGGGCTTGTACCTTAGCGGCTAGCGTAGCACGCCGCTTACGTAGAAGAACTCTCACCTGCGGCTCAGAACATTCCGACCTAGTAGTGAGAACGTTGATGAAGTAAATTACTGAGCACTCATATTCACGCACCATGGGAGGACGGGTGCAAGAGTATTGATCTCGATGGCCGGTGAGTAGCGGGGCATTCATTTCAACTCAGTACAAAGTAGAGTCGAACTGTTTCGTTAAAATTCCGGCTTTGTGTTCGTTGAGTGTAGAGACTGCAACAATGATGACGCATGTTAACCCACTGATTAAAGCTTGGCTAGCCTACGGACCGCGGCAGTGTTTTGCTTATTTATCTGCCGCTTTTCAGTTTTTTTATAATGAAGCTTCACATGCACAGCTACATTAACAGGCTTCTAGAGAAACTTGAGGGGTACATGCGTTTTCTCCAAATTTGAATCTGGGACTGTTGAACAGGAGTTCGAAATTTCTGGCTAAGCACGTACAAGAACACCCGACGCACTTCGTGAGCACCTCACCCGTCATGAGCGGGGTTCTGCATATGCATAATTCATTGGTTCATTTTCCTCTCTTCTTCAATTTGACCGCGCAAATTCACTGAGATTATGCTTATTTTACGCACGCTCTGTTCCCGGGGGCGGGGTCCATAACATAAGCGTTCCTCTTCCGTTTCCTTTGCTCCTACCAAATTTGGACCAAATTTGGGTCAGTGTGATCCTATCATCTGTCATAAGTGTTCCCATCCTACCGCTTGTAGTCCTACCAAATTTTATTGCTCTAGATCCAATAGGACAGGACTTATGAATTTTCGAGCACACACACCAAGAGACGGACTTAGCGTATGATCAAGATACTAATGACGCGTTCCCGGTGTGATAATTTGGGGAAACGCTCAAAATAAAACTATATGTGGTACTTGCTGCGTTCTGAAGAGATATTTTGGCATGATTCTCGAACAGGGTTTTTTTTCATGGTGTTTCTTGCAGTAGCTGTCGGACTGTTTTCATTCCACTATGCTGGTTGCTTTGAAAAAGGTTTGCCGGAGTTTTATGAAATAAGGATTTTACAAGCACATCGTATGGTAGTTGCGGTGAACACTCCCTCTTGCGTAAGAAAAAAAAGTCTATACAAATTTATGACTACTATTTTGCGGGCGAAGTGGAAGATAACCTTTCAGTACTATCCCATGGCGCGATGCACAATTAGGGGAATGAGCCGTCAATTGTTTTTCAATGATTATGGGATCGCTCAATAAATAAAATTCGCCCCTATGCAAAGCTGATTTCAGTGGCAAATCTCTCGTATAATTCCACTCCAATTAGCAAACCGTATACTTTGCATGCAATACGGCTCTCTTCCTTCGGAAGCTATAGATACACCGAAACCAGTTCTTCCCATAGCAGCGACTAAATCTGTTTTTCACTTTTGGCCAATCTCAGCGATATGAACCAGTTATCATAAAAAAGCTCTCTGCCACCAACCGCTCCTTCGAAGACTCGATGAGAAAATTCATCCCTCGGGCATGGACACAGTGGTATGGTATTTTGTTGGAGTCTAGATCCCACAGGAACGATTGAGAGATATATTTGAGAGAGCTCTACCTCATGTAGCGCACAATAAAACATTAGCATTTTTTACAATCTAGAATATACATTTTGTAGGTGACTTAGAACTACTTCTATGACATTTTTATGGAGCCTCGTTACAAGGGAAAGGCACGTACAAGATGGGTGGTTCTTGAAAATGTGTGTTTCATTTGCGAGCCACAGCAGCAGAACGAGAAAGATGGGCGCGGTCTTTTCAGAGTGGGCAGTTGCAAATGGGTTAAAGCGATTCCCAGTGTACAACACTTGACAGTTTTGAGGGATTGTAACCTGTCAACCAAGAGGATGACTCTTCAAGTTATGATGAATCTCCATGTGACTGCCGACCTGATTTTTGAACAACATCATGAAAACATTATGAACGCAGAATGCTTAGAATATATAATTTCACACTGCGAATGCCTTGCGATCAGAGTAACGGTGAAGTCGAAAAACTACCCAGTTGACGAAAATTGGTCTCGAATGGGGCTCGCTGAAATTGCGATTGACGTAGTCGACTAACACAGTTCGTCGTCCCACGCCAATCGCAATTTTGGCGATCTTGAAAGGCAGATGCGCAATTTTGCAATGGCTGTGCACCATCTTCTTGGAAACTCTTCGCAGGACTTCCCTAGTCAATATGCAATCGATCCGTGCTGCAAAACAACTTAAAGTCGCAATGCCGAATGTTGGCATAGATAAGGCATCAAACATGTCTTATCAATGTTAAGGTTCACTTCTGAACGTGTTTCGTACTCTAATATATAAGCATTGAAATGAGTTCGTATAATTCATTTTGAACAGAAGTCGAGCTGCACTGTCGTAGCAGAGTCGCACACACATGGTAAGTACGGTGTTTGTTGGTCACTAAGACAATCCAGACTCAAAGCATGACATGCAACAACGTGGAGCAAATCCACCTGTCAAGGGCTGTGGAGCAAGTTCATCCATCTCGCCAGGACGTGACATAGTACTGTCTCGACTTTAGAAAGTTGATAGACTCAGCTCCTATTAAGCATGATGATGGGATCTATTGAAAAATAAAAATTCAAGAAAAAAGTCTGTAAACAAGGTATTCTTCTCATACTCATATGGCAAGTCTTCATTTACGTACCGCTCAAAAAGAATTTATATTTTTTGCCACAAATCATCTCACTCGATGTTTTCGACTGGTTCTACCACAGCACCTTTTTCGGTATCACTGACTCTGTTGCGATGCGAAATACGCGGGAACTTAATCCCCGCTATTAGGACCACTTTTTTTCAAAAAAATCGCAAAATTGACCTGTTTTTAGGTGGTTTTTCTGAAACTTTTCATGTTCAGAACTGCTTGAAGGTTCTTGGTTCCAATAGTAGACCTTTTTCTGTGTCGGCGAACGTCTGGGTTCTGCTCTCTGACGGAAGAACAGCTTTCCACCATTGCCACAGGACAGAAACAAAAATTCAGTCCGGCACTCGGCTCTTACAGTAACCCCCTGGCTTACCCNACCACCCATTCCCGTGTCCTTGCCCAAGGCCCCTTTTCGACGCGTCATATGTAACGGATAAAAAATTGCGTATTAACACGTGCCGGATTACTGTAAGAGCCGAAAGCCAGACTGAATTTTCGTTTCTGTTTCCCACAGGCAGTATGCAGGGATAACTTTCCGAGCAATTTGGAGTGTCGAAGCCTCAATTACAAAACCGTTCGGGAGAACCAGACCTCGCGGAGGTTCTACTAAACGCACCACCACGGAAGGTCATGGATCACAGCTCCTGCAAACAATAGAGAGATCATTCGTGCGTCGCGACAAGACCTCAGGCGAACCCTCCTACGATATAATGAATAAAATGGGGACGACAGAAGGGCCGCTACCATCTTAAAGAGTACCATCGGGAGACGCTTCCACGGTGCAGCATTATATGGAAAAAGACAGTGAAAGTCATCTGTCTCCCTAAAAAACAGACGAGCTCGACTTCAGTGGGCGCACATGCAGTGGACAATCGGCCTATGGCGTGAAGTTACCTGGAGCGACGAGTCAAAGTTCGTTTTGTTCGTACGGATGGGATTCTGTTCGTATGACGACCTGACAACACAATATTTGACTTCAAGTCCAAATACCAGCTGTCAAGCAGGTGGCTGTCCAGTGTTCGTTTCAGAAATGCTTTTCCCAAATGAGGCCACTACACTGTATTTCGAATAGTATGGACCAGCAGATGTACGTAGACATCTTGGAGAACTGTATGCTACCTTTCGTCCGTCGTGTACACGGCAGCAAATTTACGTTTCAGCAAGATAACGACCCTAAACACAGCACTAGAAGATTGTACGAGTGGCTACCTCATTGGGAATTCGATGCCTTGACTGGCCTAATCAGTTCTCTGATTTAAGCATCATAGAACCTGTTTTTCATGTGTATTTTCGAAGCTCTTGATACTCCACTTTGTAGGTCAGCTTTCGGCATATAATGCCTTCTTCAGATCTTGACTTCACAATACATAGTTGCAAACAATCAGCCGATAACCAGTTACTGCATAGAACACATTGGATCGTAACAAAGCAATTGGAGTGGACCTGTTAGTGGGGAACCTGAAAGAGAAATGGTACACCGCTCTTCTCCTGAAGCGACAGAGGATGATCATTCAATCACTCTCAGGAGGTCACGCATCTCCTCCTTCGCGTTGATTTCCGGCTTGATACGGTCTATTTCCTGCGCTTCCTTCCCAGGAGCGGTACCAAATATCTATGCAAAACCCTCACATCGAAAGATGAAGCGTTCTCCTTCTCACGCTTGAGTGTACGGTACCTGGAAAAGCTGCTATTTGGGTAGACAGCGGGATTGGCCAACGCTCTTCTATGTTGGTCTAGGCGGATCTTCGAGGGTCTTGTGATGCTAAAGTAGAAAGTATTTTCAATAGTAATGGATACGTCGAAGGGAACCCGAAGACCTGGGCCCCATACAGAACGGCTGACCGTGTGAGCCTCATTCTGCCTTTTGTTAATGACAGAATGGCACGCGAGGCGAACCACGTCGCAAAGAACTCCGAGCTTCCCACTTCGCTCGTTTTCCGACCTCCCCTTCACAGAAAGATCTGATATCTTCTCGAATCTACGAAAGACGGTGTCGCGAGCAGTCTTGCCGCTACTGTATATCCGAGAAGATCTGCGAGCTCCAAGGCACCGTCTATTTGTCAATGCGGAGGATGTGGGGGAGACCGCAAGACCCTTGAAGATTCGCCTAGACGAACATAGGAGAGCGTTGGCCAATCCCGCTGCCTACCCAAATAGCAGCTTTTCCAGGCACCGTACACTCAAGCATGAAAAGGAGAACGCTCCATCTTTCTATGTGAGGATTTTGCATAGATATTCGGAACAACCTCTAGAAAGGAAAATCATGGAAGCACGGGAAATATACCGTATCAAGCCGGAAATCAACGCAAAGCAGGAGATGCGTGACCTCCTGAGACTGATTGGATGATCATACTCCGCCACCTCAGGAGGAGAGCGGTGTCCTATTTCTCTTTCAAGTTCCCCGCTAATAAGTCCACTCCCCTCTTCCTCAATATTTCCGGTTGGTTTGTTACGATCCGATGTGTTCTATGTAGTAACTGATTATTGGCTG